GACGTCCTTGCTATGTTATCTTTCACGGTTCGTTCCCTTTCACTTTCAGTGTCCAGGAACCAGAAAGCCCAGACCTCCACGAACAAAGATACGCCTCCGCCTTCGCGTTGTCCGTGCGAGATTGAAACACCACGAACGACCGCGAGGGGCACGAGCGTCGCCCCCGCCTCCTCCGCTTCTTTTCTTCATTCTGCCCTATTTCGCCTCTTAATAGCCGCTGCCTTCTCTGCTAGCCGATAATTAGATCCGTCCAAGCTGTGCTGCATCGCAGGGTACACTTGTTAAACCACGTGTGACACGGTATTCCGCGCCATTTCGGTAACATATGTGCCACTGTTGCTGGCTCGTGACGAGAGTTAGGAAGAAGGAAGTATACAATTTGCGTGCGATTCCACGAATCGAGATTGAATATTTAAGATCCAGAAATGGGAATAGAGTAGAAAAGCATGGGAAAGAAAGGTGTCGATTAGAAGTTTATCCAGGGTGAGGTGTGGTACTAGGATGTTCGGAGGGGGGTCCGAGGTTCTGGTGGATGGATAGGTCCGGGTCGCAACGAACGCGTTGGAGCATGGGTATTTTTAGGTGCAGTGGGTGGATGGATTGAATGTTTGGATCGTATGTTTCTTTCGTAATGGCTGGTTATTGTTACGAGTGTTACTTGGCGCTGTGAGAGTGTGTTGGCTGTTAGTTGATATACTTGTCGGTGTTTGAAAAAGACTCGGATTGGGTTCTGATTTGTTTCGGTTTGGCAGACGTTTACGAGTGTACTCGTTGCTGTATGATTCTCCATTCTTATTAACTAGTGCATTTGTTAGTAGGTACTTGAGCATAGTTTAGGTTCTTTTTGGTTTTATGGTTTGGATTAACACTAGAACTACCGATCTTTAATGGGTACCTAACTATAACGTGCACAGATTATAGTAATTTCTGGAGGTATGAGGAACATGAGTGAATATATTGGTTACAGTTCTTTCTTAATACGAGTTGATACCAATTTTATTCTTAAAGCAGGTGTATGTGTTCGGTGATTGCAAAAAGGAAAATTCTGGAACCAGTCATTTTGACTGGGTTGGTAGTTCTAGTTTTAAGGTTAAGTTTTAAGGTTAGGTGTGGTCGAATTTTACGCGATACTTTATTTCAGCTAAGAAAATTTCATTATTTATTAGCGTTTGAGAATGTTTTAGATTGGATCTTTCTTCATTTCGGTTCAAAGAATATCCTCGAGGGTATTCGTTATACATTTAATGTATTTACTATCGCTTGTGCTCGATTTAAATGGTAAAAGTTTCGTTTGAGGAGTTGCTTATTCGTTTACCTATCATTTACCTGGAATTGAAGATCCGGACAAAATGGCGGGTTGTGAATATTCTTTGTTCTCGCATTTATTGAAGATACGGACGAGTGTAATTACCTTAGAGAAAATCGATATTAATTTTCATCGAGATGGGAACGTAATTATTTATACTTTATTTATATCTTTATTTTCATTACACCGTTTTAATTGTAATAACCTACGTAGGTATAATACATTTAGGTACACATTACACGATGCTAGTTCTAATAATTGTACATTGGTCTCGCTAATGATAGTGTTTCTACTTCTTGCAGTCTTAATACTAGAATTATCATACTAGTTCTAAAAATAATTAATTTTAGACACTTCACTTCTGCAATTAGTAAAGATGTGCAACTGCATCCGACAAAATGAACATTGACTTTCACCCACATAGTAATTATAGTTACACATAGTGATCTAAATTACAGATTTAAAGTTTTGCACTGCTATTCGCTTACACTACGACAAAATAAAATTACCTGTAGCAAAATAATTTGTCCTAATTAATTTTTCTAATTTATAACATATTTAAGGCGTGAAATTTAAATACTTCGAGAGACAAAATATTCAACGACCATTTTGTAATCATCGACACATATATACTTACTTTCATTATACTTCGATCAATGCTTCATCTATTATTAATTACCCTTCAATTATTACAATCAACATTTAACATATTATATTTATTTGCACATTAGAAATTTATAGTCTCGGTATTGATAAATCCGTATTAAATGATATTAAATAGATCAGTATTAATAAATCTCGAAACAACAGCACTCGTTCCTTGAACGGTTCAATTCTACATTCTCTCACCGATATCACACATAACCACTCTACTAACGAACACGATTCCGTAACAAGTCAAACATCAATGCGAGCGATACATTCCATCGAAGTAATACAGCGGATAGTTACAGAAACCAGCAACTGTTTATTCCAGTTTCGATGAATCAGTAATTAGCCTGACGGGATCGATTTCGCAAGTGTGCCTCGACTCGCATAACTCGACGCGGACCGATTTTCATAGCGATTTTTCCCGCGAAAACGCGATCCTAACCGAGCCCACAGACGGTGACTCGCGGAACATGGCGGAAAATATAGAAAGTCAGCTAGCAACTGATCCGTTACACGACGTTTACCTCATCGTCCATGTTTATCCCGATAATACTCGATATTTACATCGCTTCAGATAGCCTGGGACGATAATTCGCTCGTTTCACCAAGAATGCCCACTTTTTTCCCTTTTTTCTTTCCATCGTTACGCGGCGCGGTTTCTTTTCATTGGCCAACTTTCTTTAATACGCGTGCTCTACATGCACGCTTTCTTTATCTTTTCCCGTTTCCATAGAACAGTTGTTGCTGTATAATCCCTGCTTTGATTTTTACCCAAGAGTATGCGCACTGTTAGGTACGCTGCCCTGTTCAGGCTTTGATAAATTCCTCGAGTTCCTTTTACCGTGCGAGTACCAGAAGAATTTGTCAAATTCAAGGTACTTTTACACTCGTCGTGTATTGCGCGAAACCTTGCATCGTTTAACATTGAAACTGTCAAATGAGTCAAAATAAGTTGTCTCAGATATTTTATTTTCATAATTATTCGAAACTTGTAGCTGTTTCTGATAAAATTTAACTTTCTCTTTAAATTTCATGGACAGAAAATAACTATACATGCAACTTGTAGTTATTTATTACTAGTAATTCAAGTGTCGATATTGAATTTCAGTATAGAGATAGAGATTGATCTATCATTTGCCGATTTTTCGTCACGACAAAGAAATTATGTGATCGTTATTAATTTTGTTATCGATAATAATCAATAATTATTCCTATAATTCGTATTATTAATAATTATTTCTAATTACTACCATTGAAATTAAAAATTCTTATTATTACCGATTATTATTAATCATTATTGATTTCGTTATGGAATCATCTATCATCTGTGATTATTCCCGATTTATTTATAAAATAAATAGAATTAAATAATTAAAATAGTAATTAAATCAGACTGGACAAGCAATGTTGCTTTAATACAGCATCCAGGTATTATTAGATCATTTTTATGAGCAACGCGAGAAAAATTGTGGATCCTCGTACCATATCGTTTCACTGATGATGATCCAGGAACACGCGCGTCTCGTAATCTAAACGAAACTTTAACAGACAGAGGAGACTACTCGTTTGATTTATGATTGGTAATGATACCTCGTGCCCAAACGCTGATTTGAATAGTCGAAAATGTGGTACGTAAAAGTTTGCGCAGGTGTTCGAGGTGGTCGGCTAACTCTCGCTCTAAATTGGTAAATTACCAGTACTGCAGTGAGTATCCGTTGGCTCAACCTTTCTAATATGTAGAAAGCAATTTTTGAAGTACAGTTCACACTTCCTAGTGCGCTTGTTATTATTCAAAGCAGCCCAGTGTTACATTTCACGTGGAATTATTCATACAAACGAAGACGTTTAAGACAGCAAAGTTATGTTAGCATAGGGCTTCAGTCGACCAGGTGAATAATCAGAAATTACACCGTCATTTCCTACGAGTGACAAATAACGTTAAGTATCTATAGTGGCTGAAACGATGCTTCGTTTTGATATTTCAAGGTAAAACTGTGTGAATTGAAATTAGAAAAATCGAGATTACTTTATTTCGGCAACCTTAATGAATAAGAAATTTGGTATTTGCTTAAAAATTTGTATTTTTACGTGATATTCGAAGTTAATGGGCGCCAATTATTTAAATCGCGAGGTAAAGGTCTTTGAGAAATAAAAATTATTATATTTTCAATTATTAATATTTTCCATATTATTGAAGGCAAAGATAAAGTAAAGGTATTATATTATTAAACCAAAAATTAATAAATTATGGTTATAATTTTTCAATTAGTTTCGATTATTTAATGTTCCAATTACTATTTAAACGGTAAAACGAAAGTCATTGGTGAACAAAAATTGCGTTGTTTTTCTCGCAAATTGATCTCATACTTTTTGGTATAGAAAACTTCCATATTATGATTATTTATGTTATATTATTTAAGATCAATAAATTAGGATTATTTAACTCGCAAAGTTATACTTGAATCGTGAAATGAAAGTCATTGGTGAATAAAAAGCGTAACACTTTCGTCGAGACCTAGTTTCACATTTTTGCACCCAAAAATGTGCATATTGCGATACTTAGAATTATTATTCCTTTCCTAACTTTCTAATTATTATTTTCCATGCAACATTCGAAGCTGGTAGATTCCAATTACTCGAATAGCGAAACAAAAATCATCGTCGATACAAGCCATATTATTTTCACATATTTGGTTCCCAAAAATTTCCCACTTTGACATTTAACAATAATTACTCTAATTATTCAACCAATGAACTCATAATAATTATTTACCAACGTGCCATTCAAAATTAACAGATTCAAATTATTTAAATAATAAAACAAAGATCATCGACGAATAAAAGTTACAAAAGTATACTATTTTCACATTTTTTAGTATATTTATAATTAAAGAGTCCTGGTACTCACATCGTGATGCTCAAAATTAATAATTTAGAATAATAATAATAAATATTATTATAAACATAAATTTAACGCTATAAATATTATTAAATATTATTTTTCAAGGAAGATTTTACTAAATGAAATATTTCTGATTGGCAGGATGTCAAAAAATAATCAGATAACAAATGGAATGCTACCAGGAGGCGGAGGAGTGGCCGACGCTGACGATTTTTCGGACGGCGAGAGTACTCCATTGACACAGGACTATGGCGACAGGTATGTGGCATACGTGTCTTTGCTAAGCAATACCATGGTATTCGCAAACGTTGTTGCCTGTTATTTTTAACAGAGGAGGATCCGAGCTAACGAGGTTTGCTTTCGTTCTGTGGACGAGACCGAACCTCCTCGCATTCCGCGATAAATCGTAAATTCTGCCTTTGGTTTGGTCCTCTTTCAAAACACATTTCAGTGGAATTTTGCAGCTATGCAGTCAATAGAATTCGATTTTCACGGTAGAGATTTTATTAACGTTTCGTGCATAATAACAGATTTTTTTTTTTCATTTTACATCGCTTACAGTTCAAATTAATTTCTGCGTTTATATGGTTTCATTGTTAGACTGTATATTAACGCGAATTTCAAAAAGTCAGAAATTCCTTTTATTATCGATTTGACAATTAATCGCGATACTCGTTAACGAGTTACGATTAAAATTACAAAAAATATTATTAAAATATTGTTATACGTAAAATTGTATTATAAAATTTTGTATTATAAAATTACCAAAATATTATTATACGTTTTAGAAAATGATTTTAGGGATTCACGTGGATATATGGATGTTAAAGTATGGATTATTTTCATGTGAAATATGGGGATATAGTTGAAACGATTATCTTTCATCTCTCTGAAAAGAATTATTAATAGGTATTTTCTACTGTTATGCACAAAGAATAAACTCATGGTCGTTGCAATTTATTTTTAATTAAATGGTACATAACGATAAAATTTTCAAGTACCTTCAAATTTAACAACATTCAATTAAAACATACAAAATTTGTATTCTTTTACCATATATCACTCACATACGTGGATACTGTTATATTCTTTCATATTAATTAATTATTAACGTATTTTGCATACATATTATTCTCCCTAATTTCTGTTGTAATATTAAATTATGCATAATATCAATAAATCATAATAATATTAAAATAAATAAAAGCATAAAAAAAAAAAAAGAAATGTATTAATAGAAAATATTTCAAAATAGATTATTCGTGTTTTAGAAGAAAAACCACGTAACATAATTCAAACCCTGAATGCAGAATTTTTGATTATCCATTCAAAAACAATTTAAAGTTGAATCCTGAAAAAGGTCTGTGTAAACACTTTCGAAAGTCGTAAATCAATGGCTGCGAATAAATGGACGTCATTGATCGTTCACGGACTCGAGCTTCTTAATTCGATTATGCGCCTTTGTTTTCCTTTTTCCAGTCAGAGAACTGTCGTGGAAACGAAAGGATGGGACGTGTTCCGGAACCCACCGCCGAAGATCGATTCCGGCTCGATGGCGAATCAAAGATGCCTGGAGGTGACGGTACAGATAACGAAGATGGTTGTGTACCTGTTAGTTTTCGTGATAGTGCTAGGAAGCGGTGTTGTTGCCAAAGGAACGATTTTATTTATGACATCACAGCTGAAAGCCAACCGAACGATCAATTACTGCAACAGGCAGTTAGGTGAGTGATCGTTGAACTTTCGTGCATACCATAGCTATCGTTGAACGATTTTATCTCTAATTAGTTCTTGAACAACTTGTGGCGCCTCTGCTGGCCTCAGGCGTTTTCCCGTTATCTATGTTTTCCTTTGCTTTATTATCCTGTTTTTCCACCTTTTCATGCTGTCAGATGAGAAGATTAACATGTAGTTAACGTGAATCTATTAGGCATTATTTCACACTATATTTTTCATTTTTTTTTATTTGCTCGTTGATGGTTTATATCGGGTTACCTGTATTTTCATGTGTTTGAGTTTTTGGTTATTGTAGTATATATTGTAATATATTGTAATATATTGTAATATATTGGCAAATCTTACTTATGTATACATTGGAAGCTAGTACTACCTGTATTATACCATATAATAATTTAGTACAGATTGTTATACTTATTACACAACTTAACCCTCTATAGCAATTTTTCTATATTGTTTTATTTCCTAGTTGATACATTATATTTGATACTTGCTTATATTATTTATAATGTATATTGGAATCCAATTTTCTTTGCATAAATTATTAGATTCTATATTTCAAATTAAAGTAAAGAAGTGAATGTAAACTTAGTCTTTAGCTTTGTCTATTATTTTCTTATTTTAAATACATTATTAATATTTTCTATTGAAATAAAATTTTTCATACCGAAATTACTAGATAATTATATTCCAATATCAAAGAAGCTGAATATTATTTCCATTCTTATTTACCATTGCTCAGGTTACCATTTCTCAATTCCCTAATTAAATGAACAAAAATATGTTTTCCTCCTTCGCGCAAAAAGGTATTACACCGATATAAAACTGACGAAATCTCCGCCTCAGATTGTTGTAAATTACAACTTCGGACTCTCAACTAAACAGCGAATTATTTTCTCTCCTATTTTTCCCTTTTACTTACATCCGCTTAAATAGCACCAACGTTGGAATACACAGTTTACTACCCACGGTTGCAATCCTCAACCGCATTTGCGTTTGAATCGAGCACTCGATGGACGCTTTGTCTCCACAATCATGTAGTGTTTGTATTTGAATTTTCTGTGAATTGCAGTCCAAATGTATTCATTGGTTTCAACATTTGATACGGAATAAGATCTGGTTGCTTGAAATAATGAGCTAAATCCGCGGTACGATAGTATTACAGTATTTCTCTTCTTTCCTTCCTTATATTTAAAAATCTAAATACCTTCCCTTGTTATGCTCCATACAAATCAGGTATTCGACATCGTTAAACATTTCTATTAACCCTTTGACTTCGGCAGACTTTAAAACGTACCATACGGTAGGAATCCATTTACGATGTGCATTAAGAACGATGAAATTTTTCGTTAGGTGTGCATTTCTAAGAAATTATTGTATTTTTAAATAATAATTAAAACACTATATTCCACTGTATTAAAACAACATTGTTCATTTCTTTGTATTCCGCATTAAATGGTTACTGTATATACTTAAAATTTAGCAGCAAACATAATTTTTGATCGCCTTTAGGCGCCCCCAGTATCACAAGCGCAAGATTTCTAAGCACCTTTAGGAATCAAAGGGTTAATAACTTTAAACAAACCAGTAAATTTACATCTCCAAAAAGTCTAATAAATTAGGAACAGCTGATCAATCGGATCTACTAGTTAGATCTTCTTAATCAAGCCTCCAGCTTACAAGAAGAGTGCAAGTCCTTCGGGTCAATGATTTAGTTGGAATTTTTCCTTGTAAAAGACAATGCAAAATAACTTTATACGACTATTTTCATGACTCCTATTCACTTCTCGTTTTACGAACAACCCTGGGAAAAGGATTGTCCCTCGCTTTCCCTAGTTATCCTTAAAAACTACCCTTAATATTTAGAGCTGTGTTACCGAGTCCTTGGATCTTGGGCAAGGCGTTATAAAAGAAGGACTATTTACGATTGAGAAAGGTTAGGTTTGTTCTTGAAGGTTAAGAATTAAAATGAAAGAGAATGAATGCGTAAGGGTGTATAGGGCGTGAGGACAGTGTTAGAGAGGAGTTCTCCTTGTTAGCTCAGGAAGAAAAGAAATAGAAAAGGATAAGGATCAGTAGTGGTATATCACTCGAAATTCAGGATAATTTCATTTTGTTTACCTCGCGTCGTCCCAAAGCCACCATGTAGCCCATATAATCCAAGGGGTATCCTGCATGAAGCCATCGAGTCGCGCAGCGTCAACCTTGCAAAATCGCGACGGCGTCTCATCGTACTTCCGTGCCATGTTTTGATACAACATTCATGGAAACCGACCTGGAGCAACGTAAAAAGTGGATCGTGCTCTCAACATAGTTACGACGGAGTTTTTTCGCGATATATACCCGCGGTGCAGGCAAAGGAGAGAAAGTACGTGAAACCAGGTTGAAGTGTACTGCGTGCCTGGGCCCGCTGGTAGAAAATCGTTCGATCCTAGATAACGAAAGTAATTAAAAAAAGTGTATTCCTAATGTTCTGACGCAAACGTAGATGACTTCTTCTGACGGAAACGTTGCTTTTGTGTATAGAAATCCGCTCTGCCATTCGAGAGGTAGTCTTTGCTGTTTGCAGAGGATTACCTGTCTCAGGAGAGGTGATGAGATATGTATATCAGCAAGGAAGAATGAAATACTTTCTTTTAATTTATTTTTTGAGACAAGATTTACGAGATTCGAGTGGTAACCGGCTTATTACTTTGATTTTGAGAAGTTTAGATGGTTTTCCTTCTTAGGATATTAAAATATTCGTGGTTTAGTTGCTTCATGATCCAAAAAGGCAACAAATTTAGATGGACTAGAGTATATAAGTCCCAATTACAATTAGAAACCTAAATTCAGAATATCTTCATCTCTGTGAATAATTTCAATAGACTATTTCATCAATGTATTGTAACAGATTCTTGACATTCTTCAAGATAGTTATAGAAGTAAGAAAAAAATATTGAAGTATGAAATAGTGGACTCCATATTCTACCATATTCCAGTGTCAATATCAGTTTAATGGACACTCCATGAACGTATTTCGTTGTTAGTTTGATTTTTAGAAATTTAGAAGACTTTTCTTCCTAGAATATAAAAGCATACACCGTCTAGCTTCTTTATCATTTAAAAAGGCAACAAAGTTAAAAGGAATAGAGCAAATAGGTCACAATTATAATTAAAAACCTAAATTCCGAATATCTTCATCCCTGTCAATAATTTCAATAGACTATTTCTTCAGTGTAATGCATCCTCAAAATTTTTCAAGATAATTAGATATGTAAGGAAAAAAATTGAAGTATGAAATAGTGGACTCCATATTCTGCCATATTCCACTGTCAATATCATCCCAATAGACACTTTGTCAACGTATCTCGTTGTTACAGGCCGGGAAAAGCAATTCGTAGTATCATTACCAGAAGAAGAGAGGATAGCGTGGATCTGGTGCATCATAATAGCGTTCGCGGTACCGGAATTCGGCACCCTGATCCGCAGTATTAGGATATGCATTTTCAAGTCTTGGAAGAAACCACCTGCTTCTCACTTCCTGCTCGTCTTCCTCATGGAGACCTTCCACGTGGTCGGCCTGGCTCTGATGTTCATGGCAGTGCTCCCCGACCTGGACGTGGTCAAAGGTGCGATGCTAACCAATTGCGTGTGCTTCGTACCTGGGTTATTAGGTAAGAGATCTTATCCAACTATTTCTGAACTTCAATCTTTAATTAGTTGCTATGCTTTGGTACCAGTAGAACTGGATGTTTGTTACATAATTCGCAGAACTAGATTTGACTATACGTGAAACGAGGTTTGGATTGATCGAAAGTTTGCGTGAGTAACTTGAGTTAAAACTGGGTCAATCTGTTTCGAAATAAAAATATTTCGAAACACCGAAAATCGAAAATTAAATAGAACATATTGTGACCCTTTGAATTGATATTTAAAGCTCAAGAGCGTGTAATTATTTTATATTGAAAATTGGAATATAGGTTAAATTAAGAGGATGATTTTTTCGCTTGATATTTAAAGTTCAATATTAAATTACGAATAGGGAGATATATTTCCTGTAAATTGGAATCAAAGAGATCATATTTTAGGTGATATTTAAAGTTCAACGACAGACCGTGGTGTATAATTTTTCTGAATTGTAAATTTCAACGGTTTCAATCGGAGAGACGATTTTTTCAGTTGGTATTTAAAGTTCAAAGTAGATCGTGGATGGAGCGTGCAAATGGTCGAGTAGGCGAGTACTGTAATCAATTGGATAAGGCATTTTGAAAGTACATTGCGGTGCCGCGTTGACCCCACTTTGTTGCTAAAGTATACCGATCTGTTCTCGTGTCATAAGCGAATGGTTTCCATCTGTCGATTATCTGCTTGAAAGTTAAAGAAACTATCCTCAGTTCTGCTCAATTTTTTCTTCGCTTTGCAGTTATAATTTAGTAATAATTTTGAATCGCCTTAAAAAAGGTCCAATTTATTTTAACACACTTATAAAACACTTTCAAATTATATAAAAATTGAAAATGTAATCTTCCTTGAAATATCTCGAAGAAAAAAGAAATCCAAGTCTTCCTAACCAAGTTTTCCTAACCTCTTCTCTAAATTACGTATATTACAAAAAAAGAATAATCTTTTATTTTCCCAAAATCATCTTTCACGATAATTTCAATTTCGTTTAATACACTATTTCATACATGTGGAAACTGTGAAATAAATTTAAGTATTGATCACAGCTACAGATTCAGGTTCGAGGAGATATCCTTCGTTAAACGAAGACGTCAATCGGCTGGAGCTATCGATGTAAAGGTAATTCTTATTGAATCGAGATAAAGGCTACTTTCGTTTCTTTCAAGGGTTGCTCTCCCGCAACAAGAACAAAGACGAATCGAAGAGATTTGTTTTGGTGCTGATCGATGTTGCTGCACTCGTCGCTCAGGGAACAAGTTTCTTCCTTTGGCCATTGTTGAACAGTTCCCGGCCCTCCTTATGGCTCATACCGCCATCTTTGTTCATGGTTTCGTGCGGCTGGTGGGAAAATTATGTTTCGATGCAGAGTCCGATCGGTGAGTATCACGATATCGGCGAGAAGCCATTAAGAAACTGTCTTTGAGCGTGAAAGGAATAAGGAATACTCGCGATGATAGAGGAATTCGATCGGGAAAGCTATCAAAGTCTTAGGAGCACCTCGAGTGACACGCAGACACGATATTTTCTGAGGAATAAATGGTCACGAGGGTATTTCAAATATTTATTTCGAAAACCCAGAAGAAACTTCGTTTCTTCTTTCTCTGGATATGAAATCTTTGGTCTCTTCAGGGATTTCAATCCGTTTAGTTAATACTCTCTTTCAACCATTTTCTTTTTCTTCTTAGTAAAGCCTTCGTCCAAAAATACTATTTGATTGTTATCACTATAATATTAACATATTATGTTATTATTATATAATATTAACACTAGAATTACCAATCTTTAATTGGTTTCTAAATCTAAGGAAACATACAAGATAGTAATTTTAGTGGTACGATGAAGCTGAGTATGTATATTAATTACAGTTCTATCTCGATACGAGTCAATCCTAATTTTTTAAAAACTTTTTGAAATTAAAATCTAAAAAATTAAATATTTTGTAGTAACTGCAAAAAGGAAAATTTCAAGACCAGTCATTTTAACTAGATTGTGGCAATTCTAGTGTTAATAAAAGGAGTAATTCATTAGTCAAAATGATTTCTGTTCCTGCCATTAGGATTCGTTAAATCTCTGGCAAGGGTGAAGAAAGAATTGCGGGTGACGAGATACTTCACTTACATGTTTATATCGCTTTGGAAAATCGTGGCATTCTTTATCAGCACTTTGCTGATATTATATATAAAAGGCGAAACTGTTGGCCATTTATTTACCATGCTGAGCGACGCTTTCGGCAGCCACACCATCATGGTATCGACGGTAAGACTGGATGCCACTAGCAGGACCACTGACACCGCAGACATCTTGGAAATCAGCGACAGAACACCTGTACTATCAGACGTCCACACTCCTATATATGTTTTACTGCTGCAAATATTCGGTGCTTACTTCACGTACATATTCGGTAAGTACTTTGCAAAGGAGCATTCCCCTTGTAAGAAAAGATAGATATTTACTAGGTTAACATTGACTCTCATATTGGTATCGGTAGAACCGATTATTCGAGCAGGAAATAAATACATATCGGTCAGTAAAAGGTATTCGTACAATAATTTGACACAAATTCTATTTAACCCTTTGCATTCGAGAGGCGTCTCTCAGTTGCCATTTAATCACATTCTAAACATCGGTGTTAATTAATATATCAAATCAAAAATTACTCAAAGATGCGTGGAATATCGAAGTAAAATAATTCCATCTTAATTTGCATACGATTTCTTATTTACCGTTTTATTAAAAATATCCTCGACTTTATGGCAATTACTATTTTTCTGTGATGAAGAAATCGCCGAGTGCAAAGGGTTAACCTTACTTTCTACAAAGATATGTCAAAAAACAGTGTTCTAAAAATGCTATATTAAATAATTTACAATTTTTCCACTATAGGATTGTTAAAAAAAATACAATTATATTTTATATATTCAAATAATTAATTTTTTTAATAGAAATAAAATATGAATGAGTATATATTATATATATTAATTAAAATTTTATTATAGTTTTGAAATTAATTCTATTAATATTTGTTTTTAATCGTTAATGTATAGTTTACTCAGATTTATCAATGTTTCGAAATTAAATCGGATTTAATTGATACGAAATTATTTATTAACATGTCGAATCAACGGAGATCGATGAATTATTGACATAAACAAATAGAAATCGATATATTTTAGAACTCGAGTATCTTATTACGTTTATGGCTGATTCAAACCACTGCTATGAGCTGAAAGAGACGACAGTGTACGGAGTCCATTGGAAATAGGATTTCGTTTCTGTTTCAACGTATGCCGGCTTAATATCGAGCGCATTGGTAGGGTGAATACCAATAAGTTCACCGTCCGCTATTATTTATTCACAAGACCGTTCGTATGGAATTTAGCATAGAAGGCTTACGCGACGAGTGACACACTTCCTCCGTTTCTTCGCGATTGTTAGATCATAGATTTATGCGCGATTTATAAGGGTGATTGATTATCGCTTGGCATCGTTTGAATCAGTATCTTACATAACGAAATCTAGGTCATTTGAATCTTTCAGATACCCATTCGTAGTATTTTTAATTCCCAAATTAATATAAATTAAGGAATATTGAAAATTTAATGATAAATTAGAAACAGAAATTTTTATCGAATAAGGTATATAAATCAAATCATTTTATATTCTACGTTTGTCACCAAATAAATACTTTGAAAAATAATTTTCCTGGCTGTGTACATAGAAGATTATAAATAGTAATTATTCTGCAACAGAACTTTACTCTAAAAATATATATACACAAAAATGATTTTTAATATTCGTTTTGTACGATTCCATTACAACGATGAAAAATTTAAATATAATGTATTAATCCAATAAGTTCTGATCCTTCCATTTATGTAAAATTATTAGCTCACCACGATATTAGTCGAAAACGTCAGTACAATTAAAAATTTTAATCAAAAACCTATCTTCGACAAAGAATAAATTTTCGAATCTCAAATTACTCCCCAAACTTACAAAAAGAATTAGAGAATCAAAGGCTTTTTGGTTAACTAATGAATTGAATAAAATCACAGTCTTGTCGATGCAAAGCTTCTTCAAAATCATATCGAATTTTAAAATTCCTTCTTCAAAAGAAATCCTTGAAAGAACATTACCAAGGAAGACTCAGCGATCTTCAGGATATTATAAATCCTCGAACACGAAACCAGACAAAATTAAGAACAAAAGATAAACGTGTAGTAAACATACCTAAACAAAAATTCTCGTCTGTTCCAGGTAAATTCGCGTGCAAGATCTTGATACAAGGTTTCAGCTACGCGTTCCCGGTAAATCTGACGATTCCAGTGTCGATCTCTCTATTGATCGCTGCCTGTGGCCTGAGGAACGGCGATCCTTGCATATTTCACGGGACCATTCCGGATTATCTATTCTACGAGTCGCCGCCATTGCACTTCCTCAACGACTTCGTGTCGCAGCAATATGCCTGGGTGTGGCTGCTGTGGTTGCTGTCGCAAACTTGGATTACCCTGCACGTGTGGACACCGAAATGCGAACGTCTGGCTTCCACGGAGAAGCTGTTCGTCGTACCCATGTACAACTCACTCCTGATCGATCAGTCGATGGGCCTAAACAGGAAGAGGGATGACCAACCGGAGGTGAAAGTCGAGGTAACCAGTTTTGAACGACTTCAAACCCCTTAACGCAACGATGTTCAGAGTTTAGGTAGTTAGGGGTAGTTGTCCCCCGACACGTTTAATAGTTCACCCTTGCAGAACTCGAAACAGCTTATACTTTGGTCTGTACAAGCTTATACAGGGTGGTCCATGCAACTATAATAACTATATTTTTGCTTTGGTTAGAGTCAGAAAATATCGGATTTTAATTTTTTCACAGATGAAGGCTACTGATATTTTTTAAAAAGAGTATCTGTAATTTTTCTATCTCGTTTACAGAATCTTGTAATTTCCCATTTCATGATCACCATAAAATTACTAGTTTAATTTCTTTCAATCTTTTAAGCTTTGCTAGTAACCATTTTACTAGTGCGAGTCAGGATAATCACCTTTGTTCAAATTTATGTTAATTAATTGCAGAAAGTGTTTAAAAAAAATAATTTTGGATTATATTTCGATTATTTTGAGTTTCTCAGTGGGTGCTTTAGCTATTAAGGTCTTCTGCGTTTATATTGTCACTTCTCTGTTAGTTTTTGTTCCTGCTGGAGTCTCTTCTCGACTGACCCTTATTTTCTTCGAGTAAATCTCTTATCTCGGCATTTAATGTCTCTTCATTGAGAGAAAGGTCTACTAAGTAACTTCCTTGATGAATTTAGTACCGAGTTTAGGGCAAAGTGTACTTTTAGCTTCTTATTTCCCCATCCTTATTGTCCAGGACCACTTTTCGTCAACCTTCGTCACGAACCCTAAAACAGTGCTGGATGTCTCTTTAAATAGAATCGTACGGATTCTCTTCGTACCCTCGTTGAAAATAACTGTTCAGTTTCATGAATTCGAAATAGGAAAATGTATTACTCTGGATATCAGCTTCGTCTGATATAAAAATGTGATAATATTTTTATAGGTGAGATTTTACATAAGATTTATACTTGTGAACAGATAGTACGTAAGAATGACTAATATATTCGACGGTTTAAAACAAGAATTAAGTTAAATTCAGATCTGACTTTTTAATTCTTCAAAGAGAACGTAAGTAGTTTCATTTTTAAGATAACATATAAAGTTCCAAAAATATGATAAAATATAACAAAAACATAAGGACAATATTAAGTTGTACGTTGTATAGAAACAGTTGTGCATAATTGTTTGTTTTCCATTAAGTTTCTCCCTTTGAAAGGAAAAATTATGCGATTTGATTCTGGATAGAAGATATCTACGAAATTCTATTTCTGTCCTACATAAACGTGCTAAACAACAGAATTCTGTAGAACGAGTTTATTTAGAAGGCAAGAATCGATTTTCCACAGGTGCTCGTGACATAAACAATCCTTTTACCATTTTATCTGACGCTTCGAATCGTGAACCTGTCTTCGACTACGTCCTATCTATTTGCAGCAGTAATAAGAGATTGTTCCAGCTCATATTGGATATCGAGAATGTTCTACTCTAAGTAATATAGGGTTAAGCTAGATCCAATAATAAATCATTTACTTCCAGAAATATGTTATAAAAATTCCTACAATAATACGAATTCATATATTACCGATATATGATCGTCATTTTCTATCTTCAATTTTCAACTTTTACTCACGTTCAATCATACATCACACATGGATTTAAATCGTATTATTATACTGACTTACAATAATTTATTAGAATGCAATTTTTACTCTATAGCCTGATTTTTATTCAATGGTATTATACAGTATAAATATATTTACATTGCTGTTTATTATGTAGAGTACAAAAAGAGGGGACAGAATAGAAAAGGAACACACAAAAACAACATAACACAATACAGACACAAATCCATCTCTAATTATCATAAACAATAATGTATAATTAAAAGCAAATGAATGAGCTTATTATAATTCTAAGGCTAATTTAGCAATCTATCACTGATATTAATACAACTTGACTATAACTCATTGTCAGTCTAAAGACTAAGAACTATCTTATAATTCTAACATACAATTCTCTCTGATCTAACACTCTTAAATACTAAAAATATCCTGCACTCGTTAAAATCTCATTAAAATTATCAAAAGTCGAATCGCAATTCTTCTCGACCCTCGAGACGTCGCGTCGAACCCTCGAAGGAGGTTCTAGTCTCGAGTGACTTTGAAATCACGATCGTTTGCATGAGATAGTAAGCGGTATTTTTGTTGGACAGGATCTGGCGGAGATAGAGAAAGAAAAGGGAGACGGGGATTATGAGACCATCTACGAGCAAACGGACGGCTCGACTACACCCCCGTCGGCTGTAAAGAGTAGCGATCATGTAACCAGGATATATGCCTGCGCGACCATGTGGCACGAGAACAAGGAAGAAATGATGGAATTCTTGAAAAGTATCCTGCGGCTGGATGAGGATCAATGTGCACGACGTGTCGCCCAGAAGTACCTCAAGGTTGTCGATCCGGACTACTATGAATTCGAGAGTAAGTGCAGACCTAACCTATAAGGTCCCTTGAGTCGCGCAGTACCGACCAAAGCTCGTTTTCGCTTCTCCCTCTTTCCGTCGTGAAAGATCGTAATATTGCTGAATAATTGGGAACAAAATGACGATTGAATAGCGAGGGAAAAATTAAGTTTGATCTGTATCTTTAGTGAATGCTTGTAATAAAGGCGAGTTAGAGTCCTAAGTTAAAATCCTAGAATTAGAGTCCTAAAAGATTGGAAGCCATTTGTGCAACAACTAACGCTGACGTTTTATAGTATACCAGGATGTTGGTTCTAATTTTATTATGTTAATACGACGTTTAATTCTGTCCACACAGCTCACATCTTTTTCGATGACGCCTTCGAGATATCGGATCACGATAACAACGAGTCGCAAGTGAACAGGTTCGTGAAACTGCTGGTGGGCACTCTGGACGAGGCTGCATCGGACGTCCATCAAACGCGAATGCACGTCAGAGCACCGAAGAAATACTCGACACCGTATGGAGGACGATTAGTTTGGACTCTACCTGGGAAAACGAAGATGATCGCCCATTTGAAGGATAAGAGCAAGATTCGTCACCGAAAACGTTGGAGTCAGGTAGGGATTTTATCTCGAAATTAGAAATATTATAATTCTACTTTGCACTCGTATGTGTACATATATGTGATACATGTAGTAACTACTATTATTGAAATATACTATTATTGAAATAAGGTTATATAAAGAAAGCGGTTGGTTGAAGAGTGACGAGTATATGTGTTTAATATAAAGACAAAGGCAACTCCAAACAATTTTCATCACCACTTCCTCTAACCTCTCGCTACCAAGCTCGACACAATGCTGTCATCTTGACAGGATCTCTCCCTCTCTTTTTATAATTTTTTCTTTAGAAATCCCCTCACCCTTTTAATCGCTGAAAATATTACAGACCCACCTGATTTTCATCTTTCCTACTCGCTATCACTGCTTTTCTCTTTCATAGCCCTTTTACACCTAGGGTTCTTAAGTTTATTGACACTTCATACATGTATCGAGTAATTGCTTGTCAAATCAAGTGCTAAGGATTAGAAATTTTACGCGAATTTTATAACAAATAAGTAGACATTTTTAACTCGTTCTTTCACAGGTCATGTACATGTACTATTTGTTGGGACATCGGTTAATGGAGCTGCCAATTAGCGTCGACCGCAAGGAAGTGATCGCGGAGAATACCTATTTGCTGACTCTCGATGGTGACATCGACTTCCAACCAGCCGCTGTGAAACTACTCGTGGATTTGATGAAGAAGAACAAGAACCTCGGCGCAGCTTGCGGTCGCATCCATCCAGTCGGTTCAGGTAGGTCTCGCGAAACCACCCCCGACCCGGCAGTAAAAATGCGATCATGCTCGGAATTTATGGATAATACTTTTTCTCGAGGAATAATATCCCTTCTTTACGATATTAGGTCCTATGGTGTGGTATCAGATGTTCGAGTACGCCATCGGTCACTGGCTTCAAAAGGCAACCGAACACATGATTGGTTGTGTACTTTGTAGTCCCGGGTGCTTTTCACTCTTCAGAGGAAAAGCTTTGATGGACGACAACGTGATGAAGAAGTACACGACGAGATCCGACGAGGCCAGGCATTATGTTCAGTACGATCAAGGAGAGGATCGATGGCTATGTACGCTTCTTCTGCAACGTGGTTACAGGGTGAGTGCTGAGAAAGGTCTTTGAGTCGTCGAATCTCATTAAACGTAGAAATATATAACAACGTTACGAGATAATGAAGTTAACTGGTACGAGGTATTATTTCTAACTTCTTTTCATGAATTACGGTATTTTGGGTAATGCAAGTTCTTCAGATAAATGAACATTAAATCAAGCTTTTGTATATTTTCCATATATATCTAATTTTAATTGGGAATATAATTATATTTGATATTTTTACATACTATAGTGTAGTAGATTTTGAAACAGATTCTTGGACAAGGTTAGACATTATGAGAATTATGAGAAGTATTAATGCATAGATCTTTATACTCGAATTTGTTCGAATATATTTTTTATTAATTTAATTCGAATTTCTCTGAGTAATAATAATTTTGTAGATGTATATGAAAGAATATTGGTTGAATTTTTAATTAAGGCTTGATAATAATTAATATTTTGCAGTATCTTTTATTTATAATTTTAACTGTGTCGTTGATGTTGCAGGTAGAATATTCAGCAGCTAGTGATGCCTACACCCACGCACCTGAAGGCTTCAATGAATTTTACAACCAACGCCGTCGATGGGTACCCTCTACCATAGCAAACATTATGGATCTTCTCATGGACGCGAAACGAACGATTAAAATCAACGATAATATTTCTCTGCCTTATATCTCTTATCAGATCTTGCTCATGGGTACGTGGTACATTTTTTAAATACTGTTGTACCATTATTCTCTTATTACTCTTGTAACAATTTCTACATATATCACTTCCATGATTTGATCTTCCATAATTTATTGTAACAGAGTGAGTATTGCATAGATGTCTCTTGTCCTAAGCTAAACAGGTCTTGAGATGGCCTAAGTTTATGGTGATCATTTAATAGAGAAGGATTGAGAATTTTTGCTCGAAGCAACTTACTTACTTTCAAGCAACTGTTAAGAATGAGATCACTATCAAACTTGACAGCCACATTGATATCTGACATTTGAGTGTTAAGTGAGATATTTGAAAGTTTGAGTGACAACACAGGCCATAGATAGAGATAAATAATATAAAAGAACAATTCAAGAGTATAGTCCAGCTTCTCTGAGAATTTTAGAATTTGAAAACGAGGATTAATTTAAAAACTAGGTTAAGCTATATTTTTCTTATCCTTCCATCTTTCTCTCGATCTTCACAAGGTTCATAAAATCATCCTGAAAACAACTTAGAACAATAGAAATAAATCTGACAAACCTTCGACATCTTTCCAGGTGGGACCATCTTAGGACCAGGTACGATTTTCCTCATGTTGGTGGGTGCCTTCGTGGCAGCTTTCAAGATCGACAACTGGACCAGCTTCTACTATAACATTATCCCTATTCTGCTCTTCATGATCGTATGTTTTACTTGTAAAGCGAACATTCAGGTAAGTCGATCCAACACTGATACGATTCAGCTTGTAAAATCCCTCGTAGCTTTCACTGTTCCAGCAATTTTGTTTCTGTTTTCTTGTCCTTGTCTTCCAGCTTCTGTGCGCGCAGATACTCTCGACAGGATACGCAATGATAATGATGGCCGTGATCGTAGGTACAGCCCTCCAACTTGGAGAGGACGGTATCGGTTCACCCTCGGCCATATTCTTGATATCCCTGTCCAGTTCCTTCTTCATAGCTGCCTGTTTGCACCCTCAAGAGTTTTGGTGTATCGTCCCTGGTATCATTTATCTCCTATCCATCCCGTCTATGTACCTCCTCCTTATCCTCTATTCGATTATAAACCTGAACGTCGTCTCGTGGGGAACTCGTGAGGTCCAAGTGAAAAAGACCAAAAAGGTTCGTTAGAAAGTCCTCCATATCGCTTTCAATTGACACTTATTTGCCTCTGAAAGTAAGGGAAGGACACTTGGCTAAATCTAGGCTTGTCACTTTCGAGGGGCTGTAAATTTATCATGACGTCGTTGGATAGGGAACACGTGGTGGTGGTAAATCGCGTATATCCGGAAGGATCCTTTTGGATGACGAGTGCTTTGTTTGATTTCATAAACGAGCAGGAATACAGCTTCTTCGTCTGCAGGTGTACGTTCTAACTTGTTTGCAGAGGATACGTGCTATGAATGTGATACGTCGAGGATACGTTGATAATAATTAATAATACCAATAATTGAACAATAATTTACAACTCTTTGATCTACAATACCTCTAATACGTCAAATACATCTGTGATATATTTATCACAGTTTAGCTATGACCCCAATGCTCGAAATTTTTACTCCAATATCCTCAACGTATCAATCCTTTTACACGTATCTAAAACCGAAAATTACCACACGCATATAGACACACGCGCACACGCGGTCACTAATAACAGCTGAAATTAACAATGGTGTGGTAGGTTTTTGTGGCAGGCCTGATCAGCACCGTGTACGGTATGGTGATGATCGCCGTGGTCGTTGGGACAGCGATTAGCATCTCCGCAGATGGTGTGTTGTCGCCGACTACGATGTTTCTAATGTTACTAATAGGCCAGGTGGCAATAACCGGGTTAATGCATCCCGCGGAGTTGTACTGTCTATTATACAGCCTCATATACTTCATCACCGTCCCATCGATGTACGTGCTGCTTGTCATTTATTCCATCGCTAATCTAAATGACATTACATGGGGCACGAGAGAGGTGGTGAAAAAGAAAACTCCTCTGGTAATTATCTCCACTTCTTAACCGACTAATCGATTCTTTAATCTCTTCTTCCTCTTCTTCTTCTTTGCTCTTCCTATGAGAGCCATTAACCCTTTCGCTACGGTACCTGAAAGTATTTTTGGGACGGGGGACAGGTAAGAGAAGGGATAGAAATATGAACACGAATATTTACGTGGTTAATGTATTAATTCCATCATATTTGGTATGCATCGGTCATTTTTAAGCAAAATTTACTGCGATACGTCGGTTTGTCGAAATAATTTTTTATTTTTGCTACTTGACGGCTTGTTATCCTGTAGGTATGTAGGAATTCGAAGCTTTGAAAATCGATGACATTCTTTATGGTATCGTTTAGGTATAAATCAATGATTTGTGAATCTTTGTGTATTATTTACCTTCTGGTAGAGTAGAATTAAAGGTAGGCTTAAGTAGGCCTCCAATGAGAACACAAGGTGTTCGAGTGGAAATTATTGTTTATTGTTTATTTTTAATTTTAATAGACGTATTACAGAAAATAACAAATTTACAAAAATTCTTAATCCTTTGTCAATAAGTGTATATACATTTTTAGCTAGTGATTAAATATGTATTTGATATTGAAGGATATACTTTCTCGTAGCGAGAGGGTTAATAAAAGGTACCTTGAAATAAACTCTAAGAACAATATCGGAAGGGAGTCTATTGATAATTAAATTCATAATTAATTACTTCCGACAGTGTATTTCATTCCTGCGTAAGATGTAGGGAATAGAGGTACGAATTTTTTTAGTTGGGAAAGAATTAATTTGGTATATTTCCTTTGTAAAGCACTCGTAATGCATTGATTCGATCTAACCTGTTGATAATTTAATCGAATCTATTGATAATTTGATATTCGACGAAGTTGGTAGTAATATAGTTACATAGGGAAAAATCTAGTTCAATTGCTTTCTTTAAAATTTTCTCAAATCACTACCTTATGTTTTATTTATTTAAAGGGAAAAAGAAGAAAATTGTTGAAAACTCTCTGAGACTTCAATTTTCGTATCGTGATAACTGTAAAATGATGAAAAATAAATTAATAAACGATCGAGGTGCTTCCGATTACGGGATTGGTGAATTCATGTCATTCTCATATGGAACGCTAAGCTCCTGTAGCTGACACCTATACTCGCCTAAATCCCTATTCGATCGATGTAATTTATCTTGAGATAAGTGGTGGGTAAGTGGTAGCTACATCAATCGACTAAACCATGCGATTAAATCCACTCGATTCGACTAAATGCATTACGTGTATGCGTGTTCACTCGGGATTACTGAATTAGATCCTGTGAGAACGGTATCTGTCATGGAAATAGCCTAGCGAAAAATTCTTCAAGAATAGAGGAAGCTAATCAATTATTATTTTTAATAATCTGATTAGTTTTGGTTGTACGAATTAATTTTTATATTTTCCATATAATGAATTAAAATGTACATGTGTTTATCGACATTCTGGTGGTTGTTACTCTAAGATAGTTATTTCAAGGTACCAAATTTGACAATATTTAGTATCACGTCTCTAGATGCAATAATAATTGTAACTAATAAATTAGCAGCATATGCACTGAATAATTTCTTGACGCACTTGGTACTGCCTTTCATACTTTATTTAGAAGCAGTGCTTACTGTAACTACATGGTTCACATTTACATATTTATTATTCATATATAAATTAATTTCCAAAAAATATACATATAGAATTCCTTATTAAATTTATACGCATGTAATTTTATTTTTCAACGAATTTTAACTTTCATGTGCCCAAATAGTTACAGTAACCACAAATGGGAAGCTTCTTGATATTAAGAGCTTTGCGCCTAGTTCTAGAAATATTTTCTTATCGCTTAATGTACATATGATCGAAATTAAAATAAATATATTTCACACTTTTCTCGCTAAATCGCTAGGAACTCGAACAAGAGAAAAAGGAAGCCGAGGAAGCGAAACGGAAGGCAAAGCAGAAGTCTTTGCTAGGATTTCTTCAAAATGGCGTAGGTTCGAACGACGACGACGAAGGATCGATAGAAATTTCCTTGGCAGGGTTGTTCAAATGCATGTTTTGCACTCATGGACAAACCTCCAATGAGAAACAACAATTGGTCGCCATTGCTGAGTCTTTGGAAATTGTGAACAAACGTCTGGAAGTCATCGAAAGGTTTGGTCAATTTTTATTCTCCTTAAAATTCAAGCATTTCTTAATTAATTTCACAAATTATTTAGCCAATGAACTCAAAGCATAGAGCATAATATTTTTCTCTTCGTTTTTCTAATTAGATGCTTTAATACTAATTATATCATAATACTCATAATTTATTAATAATAATATTAACATTTGATATTTCTTTTAGTAATACTTTCTTTTTAATTATCCAATGGCTTTTGAGAGACTTAAATATGTAATTCCTAAGACACATTCCTGAAATGCATAATTTGTGCTCAAACAAATTATCAATTACTTTGAAAAATTTCATATCGTCAATTAAGTTTCCATGATATTTAGGAACACGTGAAATCCAATGAAATTCTCCAAAATAAAACTTTACTAATTAATTTCACTCTCCATAATCAAGTAGACATTTAAAGATAGTCGCAAATTCCTACTTTTACTCCTTGAAATGGCTAAAATGCACCCGACCGACTGGTTGCGCATACTTCATGTGAAATCGAGTTTCAAATGTCATGCATTTCCTGGTTCGATCGCGCCAAACCGGGAAAAATGTTGTCACAATGATTGCACGACATTCCATTCGTTTATAGAAACACGAGACACTCGTTACATAACGAGATCTCTCCAACGATAACGAGGATACGTTTTTACCAAGGTAGTCGAAATGACCAAATCTCGGACTTTTTATTTTTATAATTATTGGAAGTATGTTATAATTAATAATATTAATATAAAATATTATATATGTTATATAATTTAATTTTTTATTTAAAATTTTGTCACTTGGCCTCCAATTTTTCTTATAACGTACCTCTAATTAATTTTTCAATCTCTCTCTCACTCTCTCTCTCTCTCTTTCTTTCTTCTTAATAACTATACCTATTTCTTTTCACTATTTCACTCGTTTATTTTATTTATCATTCATTTTCAAAGTCTAAATCCAACAAGTCTGTTTCATTTACAAAAATCTGGGACATCATTGTCCAAGTCTAATACTTCTATAATCGACTGTACCTATTAATTTTCGTCATACCACCTTAATTATTCTTACTTGTATATCGAGATACACAACGTAGATTGCCAGTTCTAGTGTTAATTCGATCCGAATTTCTGATCCAGAGTTGCAGATCCCCATGGAGTGGCGAGTCGTCGTCGCGTATCATCTGCAGGCTCACGGGCAGGAGATCACTTGGACCCCATTAACGAGAATCCTGCGAAGAATAGCGATTCTCACAGCGACGCGGAAACGGTGACCAGTCAAAATTCCGCAGGCAATCGCGAGGGTAGCGGCTTCCTCAGCAGGCCATATTGGCTGAGCGACGAAGGGCTGAAGAAAGGAGAGATCGAAGTATTATCCCTGCAGGAGGAGCAATTCTGGAAAGATCTGTTGGATATGTATCTGTACCCTATAGACGAGGACCAGGCAGAAAAGGTAAGAGGTTTGAACTCGCATGTTGCAATTCGTAGCTTTCACACTTGTCTCTTTGAATTTAAAAAGAATCTTTATTTTATTTTTATTTTTTTAATTTAAAAATTCAATTAAACATAGATTCACGATACTTTTGAAAATCTCGAATGACAAATTTGTTTCATTTTAAAATTGCTCGAAGTTCCTAAATACTAGTAATTATTCGATAATAAAAGATGATTATTTAAAGTAATTTATGCAAATTATTTTAGTCGTCGATTCATTTTTTTTAGTATTGTTAATCGAATAAACGATATATTTATTAATTCAATTTTGTTTATTTTGCCAGGTAATTGGAAACTTGTTTCTCTCGTGTGAAAGTATAATACGTTTTACAACCGAAAAGTATAGTTTTCATTTCCAATTTTTCGAAACAGTTTGATTATGTAACTTTCTCGAATCAAAATGGAACTATCTCTTGCAAACGCTTTCCAAATTCTCCATCAAGTATTCTTTACAGTATTTTCAAAGAGTAACAGTAACTTCGCGTGTCATGTAAAGTAGCTTTTACAAAATTTGTCGAAATTTTTACGCTTCAGCGAAATATGAAAGAAAAAGATGCAAAAATATTTGCCAGCCGATCATTTCGCGGATAAAATAAGAAATTAACGCAAGCTACTTTTGCAAGTCCCAGAATAAAAATAATCGATCCATGCTACTTACGTCAGGCCCGAATCGCCAAAGATCTAAAGGACCTACGTGACCAGAGCGTTTTCGCGTTTTTTATGATGAACGCCCTCTTCGTCCTGATCGTCTTTCTGCTGCAATTAAACAAAAATTTGTTGCACGTGAAGTGGCCTTTCGGTATCAAGACGAACATCACCTTTGACGAGCGCTCGCAGGAGGTAAAGACCGCTCCGTCCACGTCGAGTTGTCCCGCTCCTTTGATCTCGTCCCACCTGCCCAAAACAAAAAGAACAAAAAAAAAAAAAAAAAAAAAAAAAAAAAAAAAAGAAAGAAAAATGTGAACAGACATTTAAAAAGAGAAAAACAAGCAGAGTCTATCCACTTAGTCGACTCGTCCATGTGATTGTCTGGCTTCTCCTCGGCAAAACGTTTCAAATGCTAAAGAATCTATACCTAAAAGAGACGTCTAACCCGAGAAGACGATGAAAGACACCAACGTAAACACGAACGAAATTGATCAATAAGAATTTCAGCATCAGGTAGAAGTCTAAGCATTGAAATGGTTTTGCAGTGAAAAATCTCGTTGCACCTTTCTCGCGTTCCCCTTTCGTCGCTTATCCAGTCGCTTTCTAGACCTCCAAAGAGCGCTAGACCTCTAAAGGACTACACGATCTCGCAGAGGATCCCACTCGAAAGGAGCCGACGGATCAACGATCGACCGGACGGAGCGTATTTTTCTTCATATGTTTGCTAATCTATGTTTTCTTTTTTTCTTTTCTCTCTCATCACTCGCCCACCATAGGCTCGCATTGCCGGTGACCTAATCGAGCTGCGGAACAAGAGCGTGTTCGCGTTTTTTATGTTCAATGCGTTGTTCGTTCTGATCGTATTCTTGCTGCAGCTGAACAAAGATCAGCTGCACGTTGTCTGGCCACTCGGCGTCAAGACGAATATCACCTTCATTGAAGAGACCTCGGAGGTACCTGCTAGTGTTCCAAACGAAAAACAGAGATGCTGTCTCACTGATGCCTCGGGAGACTAACACCTCCGTGTGCTCCGTTGCTCGTTCTCAATTTTCCTATTCTTTCTTTCATTTTTTTTTTTATTTTTTTTTCCATCTCACGTCGTCGTTTACGTTCGTTTCATTATGTGAAGAATTTGCGCGATTTTATGGCGGCAATGAATCAAAATTGATCGGTCTCGCGCGTGAACGTAATGTTACAGAGGAACAGGAGGGCCTGTTGAATCGTCAGATCGAGATATTCGAGCGTGGATCCTTCGTTTTCCACGGATCATCGAGCGAGTTATACGAAAGATTCCTTTTTCTGAGTGTCGCTCTTCTAGAAATTTGCTATAGATGGATCACGTAGCGGAGAGACATCGTCGGTTTAGAGCTTTCGTTTAGATATCATAGAATCGAGCTTGCGATTGCGAGATTTATTAGTACCCTTTGCCTTTTAGATCAGATTCTAGGCATAGAGAGTTTGCTGCCCGAGTTGCTTCTTCTGTACGTTTAGATTTTTAGCAATTTCCGAGCCCACTGTTTCGCGTGTGTGATCTAATCTGTTATCTTTGTTGTTACTAACATCGAGTATTTATACGTCTTAGTTTGGTAAGAGATAATGCGTTATATCGTTACATTAATTTACCTAATTGAGGCAATATGAAATTACCGAGGAGAGACTTCTACTAGACCCCTCTCTCTCTCTCTCCCTCTTGGCATTAGAATTACTAAATTATAGAAAACGAAAACATATATCATTTCTCATTTCTGTAGTTATCGAAAGGGTGAGGAAAAATTAATTGGAAAATTTACTTTTGGAAAAATTAATATCTTAAATTTTTATTCAAAATGTTCCCTTTTTATATTTATTTCCATTAATATTACTTTTGCTATTATTAATATTAATATTAATTTACTAAATTAATAATATTTGTAGTAATTTATTTTTGTTATATTTTATACTTATATTTATTATATTATTATATTTAGATACATAGTTTATTTAGTACTTCTAGTGTCAAACTAAAATGTCCCTTACTGTCAACTAAATTTAACCAAATTGGATATTTTTATATCACCATATTGTTCAGTTTTCGATCATCTTAAGAATTACCTTATCTAAAAGCTTCAAGGAAATTGCTAAAAATCAGGACACGGTTAGTACACGGAGAAAAGGATCGCAGTAATAGTGAGCATCGGAGCACGCTGGAAAATGGTACCCGGTGATAATGTTGCACTTGCTGGGACATGTCTGTGTTTTGTCAATAACGTGGATCATGAGCACGTGGCGAGTTACCATTAACATGTTTGCACAGGTACTCCCGGAACGAATGGAAAACTTGGGGCGGAACCAGGCAACTGACTAGAAACTAGTTAGCTCAAATAACATCGATCGCCTTGTTAATTAAAATCCCACAATCCTTCCTCGTTCCTTCTTCCCTTGATCTGTTGTTTCTTTTTTAAAAAGTAAAACGATATTGTGGTCGTTAAGCGTGATCGCTCACACCAGTCTTCACCTTAACTAACAACGATATTTGTCGATTAACGTTGCCGAGGTCTGGAGAACGAGCGAGGAATTTTTGTAATTTGTGACCAATAATCCGAATGGCAATTTAAGGCTGTGTAAATAATTTTGGAAAATTGGGTTGAGGGCGAATCGAGATGTTGCATAAAAGCGAAACTGAAATCCGGAATCTTACGATTTATTAGATCGGATTTTAAAAAGATTGGTTTAAAATTTATTTATTTTTGAACAATTACTGTATTAAATTTATTAATCGTTCCTAAACGTTTATTATCTTAAATCTTTTATTAACTTTTAAACATTTGCTAATTCAAAGTACCCATTTATTTTTAAATATTCGTCATTTTAAATGTACTATTAATTTCTAAATATTCAAAGAAACAAACTCTGAAATGATAACTCCCATTAGCATAAACAAGATCAATCTAACTTAATTTGCTATTAATATTTTAAAATATTTAAAATCAAAAAATCTGAAATTGTAATTTTTTTAATAAAAAAGAAATATACTTAATATTTATTCTAGTTATCTTTACATATTCGAAATTTGGAATCTCATCTTCTGTTATTATAATACACTTATATAATGAAAATTATAATAAAAATTATAGCTTCTATTCAGCAAGAAATTCCTTCGACTTTCTCTATGATTACTCGACGTTCTCTTGGCTTCTATGCACTTTTTGGCTCTCTCGTGGTCGAGCACAGATTCGTATTAGAAACTTAGTTCTTGTTGTTCGACGAACAGTAGCACGTGCACGGTTTACAAACCACGAAATAGCCGAGAAAGCACCCCGAGGGCCCGTTTTTACGCTCACCTGGTTGAATAGGAACGAGGGAGGAATTATTACACAGGTTTCCGTTTCACGTCTCTCATGTGTCTAATTCTGATAACGCACTGCTAGGTATGGCAGCAGAGGAGCACCACTAACGAGTTACCGTCAATGTAACTAAACGGTGGCTTATATATGTATATGTGTCTAGACTTGTTTTACGATATGTGTGTTTTCTGCGGTTCTCCTGATCGTATCAACGACCAGTTTCGTTTAGCCCTTATCGTGGAAACGTCTTTTCCCTACCCTAATTCCGTGCTCGTAAAGAAGAACGTCGTGTGTTACATATTTTCACTTTCCAGATATTTATTAAAATTCCGAATTTTCTATCTTTAGTATACTATTAAATTTCATAATTTTTTGAACGTATTAAATGTGCTTCATCCACTTCTTTTTTTGGCAAATATGTAAATAGTATACTTTGTATGCCAGTTAATGAAAATATTAAGATTTTTGAAAATGTGACACGCGATTTTTTTTTTCTATAACCAGAGAATTATGCAAATTTGTGTCCTGTATGTTTTTTAACGAATAATTGTTTAATACTAGAGCTACTGATCTACAGCGAGTAGTTAAATAGAGATAAATAGCTACTGAAGATAATATGACGAAAATAAATAGCTATGTATAATCATGTTTGCATGTTAAAGAGAAGATACATTTAATTTTATTAAAAATAGCTGTGTTTTAAAAAATTACAAGAATTAAATGTCTGGAGGAAATTGTTCTGATCTTCTTGGTAGTTCTAGTGTTGAAACACTTAGATATTCCAAATAAAATCGCGATCAAAATTTTAACAAATGTTTTATTAAAATATATTTAAATATAGTTAAACAAATTCGAAGACAAATAATTTAGACTCGATAGGACACGAATTTCTCTGGTTTGCACATGAAGGGTTAAAATAAAAGATCAATTTCGATCTATTAATCATACTGACAAAAAAATCTGGATTATTGTTTATCTAAAATTTGACCAACCCTTTGCGATCGAAAGTTACCCCAAGAGTGATAACCCCTTTTACTTTCTAGATCGAATATTTTCAAAAAATTCCTATTATTCTTTAACAATATCATAAATTACAAAATACCTTTTACCTAACATTTTATACATATATATACATACATAACACTTCAACACACAATTTTACTCTATTTAAAAGATATGATGTATTCGATCTGTTAAATCACAAAGGGTTAAACCACAAAATTTCATAATATTATACTATTTTCTGAAAACTGTCTTTAGTACGATCAGGAAAGAAATTGTTATTTCACTACGTTAACGTCGATAGTTACAACAATGACTGTCATATAATTGCCACTTTAATTATTTAATAATTATTTAATATACATATAAGAGTAGAGAATTCTATATAATAAGGTATTTTTACCCAAAGGGTAGAAAGTATGTGTTTCATTTCGTAGTGAGGTAACAATGAGAAAAATAACAAAGACCGCAAACTATTTTACGTGTTCCCTTCCTACGCCTCCATTTATATTTCGGCTCGTACCATGCTTCATTTATTGGCAATTCTTTTTTAACGATGAACATGTCTTGTAGGTACACATCACGAAGGAGTACCTACAGCTAGAGCCAATCGGTCTGGTGTTTGTGTTCTTCTTTGCGTTGATATTGGTTATTCAATTCACCGCGATGCTGTTCCATCGATTTGGAACGTTCGCTCATATTTTAGCCAGCACCAGCTTGGATTGGTACTGTTGTAGGAAGGTACGTGTCAATAGACATTCCTGGTCACGTTCACCGAAGTTCGACTTCCCTAAGACTGTCACGTGTTATTTGAAATCAATATTTTTACATCAATATCTTTATATAGACTCATGGTGTGAATAATAAATATATCATAGTACGAAATGAGGGAAAAATTTCTTTCTTTCAAATTTTTCACTTAGTTTCACAAATTTCGTAATTGGTCATGATTATTGTAATTAACACGTTAAGTGTCCAGTCCATTTTGTTTGCTGTTCTGTTCAAGCCCAGATTCGGCGAAGTGTTCATAAAACTCGGAGATACTGTACTAATTATTATAACAGGAATTCCCAAACGTTAGGTCAAAAAATGGCCAAGAATTTAATACCAAAAATTAGCACCTTTTGGTCCTAGTTTGGGCCAGTTCCTGAGGACCAGCGTGGTACTTAACGTGTTAATGAGCTATTTAATTCTTTATGAGTTTTGGGTTCGTAATTGTTTCATCTCTTATAAGACAGTGGAGATTTAAATGCAGAGTACATATTAAAATTGTAGATATTTTAATTATTTCACCTATTTTTGTTATTTTTAATTTTACTTGTTTCTACTATTTTATTCTTCCTCGTTTTTGCTATTCTATTTTTACTTATCCTTAGTCTGTTATTTCATTTCATTGCTTTTACTTTCATAGTGTCAGGGGTGGAACAGGGATTCTAGATTATGAAGATAATTAAAATTTTTAAATAGAGATTTGACGCGATTGATTTCTAACTTTGTACGTTTAATTCTCCAGGCAAAGGATTTGTCAGAGGAAGCGTTATTGTCTAAGCATGCGGTGGAAATTGCCAGGGATTTGCAAAGATTACACGGTATGGAGGGTGACTACGAGGAGGGTAGTGGTAGCGGTCCAGGAAGGAGAAAAACCATAAGGAACCTCGAAAAGAGCCGTAGAAAAACGCAGGCAATCAATACACTTGATGTCGCCTTCAGGCAACGATTTAGCAGATTGTCCAATGGTAATGGTATGTAAAACGTTTCCACGATATTTTTGCATCGTCATGAAATTGATAAAATTGATGAAATTCGTGCGGATAAATTTTCCAAAATTTAGCAACCATTATGATCTATAAGAACAAAATTACATAAAATGTTAAAACACGTTGAAAATCGTACATTTTCTCAATCTTTTTTTAATAATTATAGTAATTTAGTAAGATTGCATTGAGTGATATACATTTTGTAAAAGCTGAGTTTTAAACAATGAAGCTTAGCATAGTATTCTCTTATGCAGAAGACTTTGGAAGTTTAGTAGAAAGATGATGAATAATTATAAAATGTACAATTAATTTAAATTTAATTATTTATTTTACTTATATTTATTTATTTCGTTTTTGTTTATTTTATTTATTTCACTTAGTTTACTTTATTTTATTTATTTTTCTTACTCTACTTTTGCCATTCTCGATTTACGTTATTTTATTTACTAACTATTTAATTGTTTTCCAAATATTAGGATAACCTAATATTTTTATAATTCCCAATAATTTTAAAATATATATTATGCTGAACGTTAATAAAATTCCGAAAGTATCTCGATATAAGGGAACATTCATCGACGAATTGATGTCGCTATTCTTAGATCTGCCAAGGAACATGTCAACTAGATGCTCTGCAAAGGCTTTCAAAGCATTCGAGGATCGTAGGATTGCACTGAGGCGAAAATCGCAGATGCAAACCTTAGGAGCGAATAACATCTTCGGTGTGGCTGGCAATCCTTTGGGAATACAGGGTCGTCCCTCTAGGAGCAGTCAGATTTCAGTCAAAGATGTATTCGATAATCATGGGGGCCACACGAATTCTGCCTACGAACCGGACGAAAACACCGGAAGTAGCCTCAGACTTCACAATTTAGGACAGAGTACGTCCTAAATTCAAACAATCGAACGCAAACATTTGACTAAAAAAATTCTCACGAATGTGCACGATCCTTGCAAAAGTACTAAATCAAGTAGTGATTGGTTATCGAGAGATAATTATGTCACTTTTTAAAATTATTTATTGCAATAACAAATATACATATTTCCTTTTTTAATAATATTTTAATCATTACTAACAATTTAGAAAGAATTAAAATTGCTCAATGTTGAATGAAGTTGTCGGTGTTGAATATTAACTATGTTTAAAATTATTAAATATTAATTACTAGGTTTCAATTATATTCAGAAATATAAAATATTAATTTCCTTTTTGTTAGGTATGTTAAGAATGTTTTAAGTTATCAGATTTCAATATTATATTTAATTAATTCAATATTATATTTAAAATTATGAAATATTATTTTCTTTGTATTAAACATATTTATTATACTTTAAATTATTAGACCACGATTATATTTTAAATTATTAAATATTCACTAAATTTAAAATTATGAAATATTATTTCTTTTGTATTAAACATATTTATTATAATTTCAATTATTAAACCACGATTATATTTGAAATTATTAAATATTCGCTAAATTTAAAATTAACATAAAAGAAATAAACTACTTATTTCATTAATTATTTCGCGCATTCATTTAACACTCTAATATCTTCCTACAAGTTACTACATATCCTTTCTATTTTGAAACCATCGATACTAACCAAGTAAGATAATCTAACAATTAATAGCAAGAACATTTTATTAATCGACCTGAAACTTGAGAGACTTCTCTTTGATCTTTCCAGATGAACATTATGGCCATTTTGGAGGATCCACGAGAATCAGGAACGAAGACATCAACGGCCACAGCTTCTCTGGTAGACACTAAAACTCGATCCTAGTGAAGATTCCATTTGAATACCATCGCGCTCACTAGCGCAACCTCTAGCAATTACCTATTAATTATTCGATTACATACGATGTAAGAGCGAATAGAAAAGTACGAAAAGACTGCCTTCGAGTAGACTAATTTATGACGAAGTGAACTGGAACAGGGCCGTCTTTAAACTCCCTATTTATTTATTATGCGAAACAGAAAAGAAGATAGAAAATATTCCTTTCTTCTCTAAACTCGACCACAAAAAAAGAAAAGAAAAAAAATAAGAAAAGTAAAAAAGAAATACACGCAACGAAGGTTATCGTGTAATAAATATTACTCCACAAAAAAAGAAAAGAAAAAAAATAAGAAAAGTAAAAAAGAAATACACGCAACGAAGGTTATTGCGTTATCGTGTAATAAATATTATATATTATAGTACCAAGATGGACGCGAGGGCCTTCAAAATTCTACGGGTTAAAGACAGTCCTGAGGAGGAAACGTTTTTATCTTTATCTTTCGTTTTTCTTTCTTTTTCTCTCTTCTTCTTTCCTTTTTTTTACTCGTGATTAGATGTTTAAGGAAAATGAACTGACCGGTGAATAGCGATATTACCCGATGCAGCTACTGCCGTAAGACGATGCACGGTCCCACAGAATAGTGAATCGAATTCTCTGGGTGTTAATCGAACGTAATAGCCCTGTTAACTCGTGTCGTGTCAATCGGTATACATACGTTATCACTCACGTGTGACACAGTAATCACAGCGACGACGCTTACATTCCTTCTACTCTTGTAAACGTGATACCGCCGTTTATATAAATATACGTATTGTATTTAATAGATATACAAATTTTTGTACATACCGCGTGCGTACATGTAAGGATAAGCCTGTAAAGAAAAATCGCATTGGTTGGAAACGAAATAAAGTTCGAACCACCAGCAGCCAATTCTGCATTCACTCGGCTTAGTTTCTCTTCTTCTCTCATCTTTCCTTACTTCTCCGCTGTATTTGAGGATTACACAGATCTTTATTCGAAGATCTATATGTCGAGAATGAATTTTGAATATTAAAATCGGACACTTGAAAATTGAAAATTAATTTAAAATACTTAACTCGAGCATTTTTATGCTGCTCCAAGATTTCTATTTATTTCTATTCTTCTGTATCTATTTTATTAATTACATAGATTCTCATAGTCGAAGATTTGAGAGTCGGAAATAAATTTTGAACACACGATTCGATTAATTTCGTACTCTTCTTTGATTTTTCTTTATTTCTTCTGCGTGCTTGATTTATTATTTATATGCATTTTCAATGAGGCGATTAAATAATTATAATACTAAATTAAAACGAGGAAATAAATAATCAAAAATTATTTTATCTTGACACTAAGTGTGAGATTATCTTGTAACAAATGGAACCTCGATTCTAAAAAATATTGTCAGATAGTGTAATACGTGCAATACAATTTTATTAATTGTATTTAAAGTGATTGAGAAGAGTGTACACACGTGTAAAATAATCAGAAATTTTCACGTGTCAGTTTGTCGCAGGGCTTCTGTCATGCACATAACGTAACTCGCCATCAAGTAATCGTTAATGCTGCGACGTACAGTCCATCCTTGATAAAATCCCTCAGGAGATAGGGCCCAGTTTGCCAGAAGCAAAGGATAATTCGCTACTACCGCGTAATTGTTACCTACCGCGTACCTGAATATCGCAAAGTCTGACCAACTGCAATTAATTTACCATTAAAGACGAACTTACGCGAACCATCCACTGATAATCGCCCAACTGAAAATATTCAGCTTTGTGTCGTAGAGTGGCTTCGATTGGGACGGTGACTCGAAACGCGAACCTCGTGAAATATAATCGACGAAACCTTGAATATTAATTTCCTGAAAAAAAAAAGAAAAATTGTCTTAAAACTTCATTTCGATATTTAAACGTGCAACTGAATTCATAGCAATCTTCTTTATCAGAGTGACAAAATTAAACGATGCTACCAATTTTATTACATACATATTTGAATATTTATATTAAATATTAAAATATTAAACATTTCAATATTTATATTAAATATTAAAATATTATGTACTTCAATATTTATATTATTTTATATTCCCGAAGAGCCTTGTATCACAATAATTTCCTATTTATTATTTTATAGTTTCCAAGTGACGAGAATAATCGAGTTAATTAATTTATACGTGATGTTTTTCGATTCCTGACAGTTAAGAATTGACGAAAAAATTTCACGCAACAGCTCAGAAATACCTCAGACTGTCTCCTCGTCCTATGCAGTTTGATCGCGTCTAAAATTGACAAGGTAGTTACAACACAGACACCTAGCACGTAATACCCGTGACAAGAATACAGGGAATAAATTAAGCCGGCCATGCTCAATGTCCTCAGGATCTCGTCTAAAACATTCAGTCTTCCCTTACTCTTCTCCTCCTCGAACTCCATCATGACCGGATCGAACGCTGGAAAATAAGGATTCTCGTGGCGAGACAAGCCTCGAAACCGGTTCACTTTTAATCCACTTGAGATCCACTTACGATACTCCTTGAAGAAGAGTTTGTACGCCAGGACGATCAGGGATCGGGACCCAATCATCGCGATCCCGATACAGGCATACGTGAGATGGGTAAAGAACCTGGAGTGTCGTGCATAAGAGTGTTTCACCAGGATATAAATAGAGGATCCGCATGTCAGAGTTAAATTTGTGCAGGAGAAAATGGATTCCAAAATCATGGGATCGATTTTACTATATTTATCGCGTCTGCGATTGAATATGTGGATATACAATATCGTTCAGGTATTTAAAACTATTCTGAATTGTCGAATAATAACAATAACCAAGGATAATTATCTGCGATCAATGTCATCGAATCGACATTAATCGATAACGTCAGACTAAATCGTTTGAAAATAATCGTCGCTTTTGTTTCCGTACCTAGCCTCAAAATTAATCTCCATTGTGCTCACCGCTGAAATAACGTGATTTTCGCGGAGATAAATGTTTAATACGTGACTTTAACGTGACTGGTATGCAACGAGGCGAATATAACGATGTTTGAAGGTATATCGATACATCGAAGACACGTATTCAACAAAGTTAACCTATATGCAAATCGATAGTTATCGATAGTCGGTCGAACTGCAGCAAGACGAGATACGTCGGCGTAACAGTTCGTTTGACACGATGATTCGCGACAGAATTGATATGAATGCGTTCGAGAAATGGGAAAATATCAATGAACGTACTTGATATGACGCTATGCAAAATAAATTTCTCATTGTGATTTGTAAGTTGATTGCGATGCACATGGTAATAGCAGCAGAGAACGTTCGTGCAACTGTCAACGTCAGTGAGAACATTGATAACTATCCAGTTCACTTTAACAGTACTAATAGAACTATAATGGAATATACAGCTGTAAGTACAAATAGCGAGCATTGTCCAAAAGCGTTGCCATTGATATTCGACAAAAGACATTTTCGGTACCGACCATGTCCTTCGTGTCGGAAACATAACCAATTGGCAATCGCTGTTGAAGACTACCGTTACAGTCACCGTTGATTCCTTGCTATCACTAAGTAATGTTGTGTATTATAGAATGTTAATTTTTATACTACGGAAACAGTGAAAAAGTCGCAAGAAGGTATTATGGTAAATAACGAGAATGTAAAATCGTATCGAGCAGGATGCACCGACTTGTCAGCGATATTCGAACAGTGGAGGAGAAAGATAGTTTTACAGAATAGCAGTTCAGTGGAAGAGAATCTCGTTCGGATCTCTGAGAACGATTTAGATTTAGTAAATATCGAAGAGGCACGGTACAAATCGAAGTCTGTTCCTATGAGGGATCATGAAGTCAGTTATCCTTATCCTTTCACAGATTATATTCATCCTCGCCGCTTTTGCGCCGATTTTTCATCCATAAGTACTTATAGCAAGCCGCAGCATCGACTAATCAGGAACCTAAAATCGATTAATTATCAATCGAATTTAAGACACGAACGCGAGAAGTCGAAAAGAGCGTGGAGATCGTTGCACTCGTTTTTTCGTGGCAAACGAAGAAAGTCGAATGAAAGCTCAACGGTGGATGAAAACTTCAGACTGCAAGATCAGTGGAATGAAACGTTTTTATTGACGAAGTTGGTAGAAGTATCGCACGAAGGACTAATCACCAATGAACCTACTTCATCTTCTATAAGTCAAAGTTTAGATATGCATCGGATACTGAGATTGAATTTAGGTCTTAAGAAAACGACTGCTTTCGTTAAGAAACGGAGAAAAAGGAATATTAGAAATAAAAGAGACAAATATGAAGTAATTACAGACCCTTTTGAAAGAGAAGCAACTGCGTATTTGAATGTACTTAAACTGCTGGAAACAACTGAAATACCGGATATCGAATCTCAATTAACTTACAATACAGAATATCAAAGTGAAATAGACGTATTACAAACAACACTGAGCTGGTTGGATCAGCAACAAAGAATGACCACTGTGACTTCAAGTATCATGAAAGAAACTGAAGATATGGGAGAAGATGTCACTGAAGAATTACAAACATTTCGTGATAAACAATATGAAAAACAATATATAGAGGAATATGATGAATATACAACAGAACCAACTATAAAACACACTGGTTGGTATGAATACGACGAACATATCGGAACAATGGCGATAACTCGAGCAGAAGCACCTAGGCAAAATACACCATATCGTACAATTCTAACAGAAATAACATCTGCTGAAGCTGCTACTCCATTTAGTGTAACCACAACAATAGGTGGAACGACACTTTCTTTTATTATAACCGCAACTACAGTTACAACAGAAAAGATAACGTCAATCGCAACAACATTGCTTCGGACAACAACGGAAACATCAACGGAAAGGTCAATAGCTACGACTGCTACCACTACAACAACGATGATACCATTAACTATTGTGAGAACAACAACAGAGAAAATAACGACTGTCACAACAAAATCGCCTGAAACTACGATAAAAACTACAACGCCAATACCTACGACTTTCGTTACTACAATGTTAACGACTGCGACAGCAGCGAAAACATCTGAAAAAATGACGTGGCCAGAAACAACACCGGAACGAAAAACAACAATGTTTCAGACAACTGTTACCACTACAACATTAACAACTAGCATGAAACAAACAACACAAGAAACTACGAGAACCGGAACCACACAGCCAGAAGCAACAACGCAAATCCCGTCAACAACAATAACAATAATTACAGCAACCACAACACCATTATTAACTACATTCAGAACTATACTGCAAGAAACAACTGTAACTAAAATACCGACTGTTGAAACGACAATGCAGACGATTACTCACGCTGAAACAACATACATAACAATGCCACTGGTTACAAAAGAAGCGCCTCTAACTACAACTATAATGCCTGCAGCAACAACTATTATGGTGTTAGTCGCTTCACCTACAGGAATTACACCTGAGGAGATGACAACCATAGAGCAGTATACTAATAAAACTGAAACCAAATATACCACTTATATTCATTCCACAACAACGATAAGTACAACATTACCAACCACAACAACCACAGAGGCAACTACGAAAGAGAAAACACCAGAGACATCAATTGCGACAACCACAGTAACTCCTGCTACAACAGTCACTATAGAGTTAATGACAAAAAGGATCGAAACTATTACGGAGTTAGAGCTAACAAGTGTCGAAACCACTACGGAGATATTGACAGTAAGTAACGCAACCATAAATGGGGAATTAACAACTACGGAGATCTATACAACTATATCTGGAACGATCTATACCACTACTCCTCTTCACTCTATTACAACAAGTACACTGTTACCTACAACAAGCACAACTGAATCCACTACAGTGGAACTGACAACAATGAAAGCAATAACGACGCCGATCACAACAGAAGCATCCGACACAACAACTCCTCCTGTTATAACAACGACTACAGAGTTAGTCCCTAGAACTGTCGAAACAACAACGGAGGAACAGACAACTACGGAGATGTACACAACTACATCCGTAACGACATATACAATAACAGCCTTTCCCACTACAACGATAAGTATAATACCACAAACAAGAACCATTGTGACCATCACAACAGCATCAACTCCTAATACAACCGAATTACCTACTACTGCAACTATAGTGACTCATGCAACAACCACTACAGAGTTAGGTACTACGACTGTCGAAACAACAACGGAGAAACTGACGACTACGACAATCTCCATAACTGTGTCTGAAACAACGTATACTTCTACCACCATTCCCGCTACAACTGTTCAACGGAGAAACTGACGACTACGACAATCTCCATAACTGTGTCTGAAACAACGTATACTTCTACTACCATTCCCACTACAACTGCAAGTACAGTACCAGAAACAACAGCAACCAATATCACAACCACAGAAGAAACAACGATAATGACAACTACAACAGTACCTGTAACAACCGCATTACCTATCACCACAACTACAGTGCCTGTTACAACAGCCACCACGGAGTTAGTCACAACAAGCATCGAAACAACAACTGAAAAATTCACAACTACGGCAATTTATACAACTGTATCCGAAACAACGTATACCACTACTACCCTTCCCACTACAACTGTGATTACAGTACCAGAAACAACAACAACCAATGTAATCACCACAGAAGAAACAACGGTAATGACAACGACAGCAGTACCTGTAACTACCGCATTACCTATCACCATAACTAAAGTGCCTGTTAAAACAGCCACCACGGAGTTAGTCACAACAAGCATCGAAACAACAACTGAAAAATTCACAACTATGGCAATCTATACAACTGTATCCGAAACAACGTATACCTCTACAGCCCTTCGCACTACAACTGTGATTACAGTACCAGAAACAACAGCAACCAATGTCACAACCACAGAAGGGCCAACGGTAATGACAACAACCGCGTTATCCGTCACTACATTTACAGTGCCTGTTACAACAGCCACCATGGAGTTAGTCACTACAAGCATCGAAACAACAACTGAAAAATTCACAACTATGGCAATCTATACAACTGTTTCCGAAAAAACGTATACCTCTACTACCCTGTCAACTACAACTGCAAGTACAGTACCAGAAACAACAGCAACCAATATCACAACCACAGAAGAAACAACGATAATGACAACTACAGCAGTACCTGTAACAACCGCATTACCTATCACCATAACTAAAGTGCCTGTTAAAACAGCCACCACGGAGTTAGTCACAACAAGCATCGAAACAACAACTGAAAAATCCACAAGTGCATCAATCTATACAACTATAACCGAAACAACGTATACCTCTACAGCCCTTCGCACTACAACTGTGATTACAGTACCAGAAACAACTGCAACTAATATCACAACCACAGAAGGGCCAACGGTAATGACAACAACCGCGTTATCCGTCACTACATTTACAGTGCCTGTTACAACAGCCACCATGGAGTTAGTCACTACAAGCACCGAAACAACTGAAAAATTCACAACTACAGAAATCTATACAACTGTATCCGAAACAACGTATACCACTACTACCCTGCCCACTACAACTGCAAGTACAGTACCAGAAACAACAGCAACCAATATCACAACCACAGAAGAAACAACGGTAATGACAACTACAACAATACCTGTAACAACCGCATTACCTATCACCATAACTACAGTGCCTGTTAC